GGCCGGGCAGGAGTCGCGACCGCTGGCAGGCGTTGGTGGTGGTGGTGGTCGCTGTGGCCAGGTCCAGGGTGCGTTGTAGGAGCTCGTAGGGGAGGGAGATGAAGGCGAACGGGAGCGCGGGCTCGTAGTCGTCCTGGGCGTAGACCCCGCAGTGGGGCACGCAGTGGTAGCCCAGGCCGTCGAACAGAGGCACGGCCAGCGGCTCGCTCGACTCCAACACCTCTGCCTGTGGTGAGGCGGCGGTGCTGGCTTTGGTGCATGTTGTTGGTGCCAGGGGCTGCTGCTCGTGGAGGGTGATTTGGATTTGGAAGGCGGCATCGTCAAAGGTGCCCGTCAGCACCTTGCTCTTGTGCAAATGCCACCACTCCCCTTTCTTCTCATCAAGAGCCTCCATGTTCACTTCTGGTTTATTGTTTCTTTTTACGCAAAATATTACAACTTTTTTTAAAGAGAAAGCAGAGAAAACAAAAGGAAATGGAGATTTTTGGATCAGACGAGAGTGAGAAGCGAAGGGAAGGACAAAGGGAAGCCGGCGGGTCTCTGTCGGCTTGTGCCGGCGGATAGATGGAGCAAATGTCAACTGCTCTTGCGTTTCAAATCGTCGGCTGAGCCCCATAAATAAGCTGACGGCGAGGAGGCCGTTCAAACACAACAGTAATAACCAACAACTCGTCTGCACGACAAGAAGCAAGCATGTCCGACAACACAGCACCCACGACTACCGAGTACCAGCCCAAGGAGCGGATGACCGATCTGCTGACCCGATTCGATACGGCGATGATGGTAAGCGAGTGCGGCAAGACGGGCCAGTACCACGCACGCCCCATGGTGGTGGCCAGGGTCGATGAGGGGCTCAATCTCTGGTTCTTCACCGAGTTCTGCGCGCCCAAGATTGAGGAGATGAAGACCAACAACAAGCTCTGCGCCACCTTCCAGGACAAGGACAAGTGGCTCTCCCTTGCCGGTACGTCTCTCTGCTCTGCTCCGACTCTGCACCTCTCCCTCTAGCACGATCGATTTCTCACATCATTACCTCCTACAGGCAAGGGTCGCATCGAGAACGACAACGCGCTCAAGCAGGAGCTGTGGAGTGCCAACAGCGACAAGCTCAAGAAGTGGTTCCCCGAGGACAAGAAGCTCGACGAGCTCACCCTGCTCGAGCTCGAGACCCAGTGGGGCGAGTACTGGGACTCGACCGGCGTCATGAAGCCCCTCCAGTACGGCGTCGAGGCCCTCAAGTCCGTCGTCACCGGCACCCGCATGGACGCCAACAAGGCCGGCAACCACGCCAAGCTCAGCCTCAGCGACTCCACCGCCACCACGAGCCTGTCCGCCCAGTAGTCAGCAACTCGAGACTGAAGAGCTCGCGCCTTCTTCACCTCTTGCAGAGCAGAGGACGCAAGGCGCACGCAAGAGGCCTGTCTGTACATAGCAGCATCGACCAGACCTTGACACTCAATACAGCACACTTCACACCACACTACTCTTTCTTGTTCGTACCTTGAAGTAGTTCAACTCTTTGGGGGGGTGACAAGGCCTTGTAAGCTTGTTTGGCAAGTGCAAGACGAAGGCAAGGAAGTGAACTTTATGAAGTGGTTGTACTAGCGCAACCGCTGCCGCTGCGACCTGGTGGAGTCTCTTCAAGGCAACAACTCAATGTACCGCGGAAGACAACTCGCTACCCAGAAGAAGAGGCGCCCACCAATTACGCCACAGGTAGAAGAAGAGCTTGAGTTTTGTTGGGTTCTAGTTCGTCTTCTCTGTTGAGGGTATGTACATGAGGCTGGACCCACAGCCAATGTTATGAGAGAAGGGAGGAGGGCTGCAGCTCGAGGGGGAAACCCGCTAGTGGGCTTCGGGCTGCGAGGGCTCGGAGGCGGGGGCCACCGAGGGGGCGGCGACCGCCTCTTCGGCCGGCAGCTTATCGACAATGACCTTGGGCGGGTTGTCCACGGCCACAGCGCCGCCCGCGGCCTCCTCCTCGAACTCCTCGCCCAGGTCGTCGAAGTTGGGGTCCCTCTCGTCGAGCACGTCCACGCCGTCCTCCTCTCCCGGTCGGCCCCAGCCAGCGAAGCCTCCCTTCTTGGGCAAGCCTCTTCCTACCATGCCTGTTGAGGAAAAACAAAGAAGAATTAGTCAATCTCTTGATGAAGGAGCTAATGAATTGAAAGATCTCTTTGACGAGCACTGGCCAGCTGTACGTACCAGAGTGCCTGTCGAAGCCCATGTGCTTCGCAGGACCAGCGCCCTTCCTGGGAGAACCCTCATGCCCTTCCTATCATTGACTCGTACGTGGTGCGACATCTCAGAGTTGTATTAAGCGTTGGATATGTATGTGTATGTATTCGCGCGTGTCGTGCGAGATGAAGAGGTGGTGTTGTGGTGTGTTGTGGTTGGTGTGTACAGACTATTGTGCGTGTTTGGGTTTTGTAGCGGCGGGGGGGAGGGGGTTCCGTTGCCTCTTCCGTTTTCGGCACCGCTTCCGCAAGAAAGTAGCTTCATTTTCATTCGATTTCCCAGTCGGCCACTCAGCAATCAGAAAGCTTGGAATGTTGCGCGTGCCTCTCATTTCTTGGTGGTCTGTGGAATGTGCTCGTTGCTCCAATAAAAATGCGTGTCTCTTGCGTTGGAAGAAAAAGAGGCGGTCTAGGTGAGCTGGTGGAAGAGCTTCTCCTGGTCGGGGTTGTCGAACTGAGGCACGAAGGTGATTGGCTTGATCTCGGTGAAGCCTTCGGCGAGGCGTGGCTCCACGTACTGCTTCTTGAACCTGTGATTGTTGGTCAGGTGAGCGAAGAACGAAAGAGAAGGAGGTGTGCTCGTGTTCAATCATGGTTGTAGCGCGGGGTGGCGCGTACATGTTGTAGGCGATACCAGGCACACGCTTCACCCCGGACATGTTCTATAAGTGGAGAAAGAAGATGTTACACGGATGGGTCTCATCGATCTCAGGGCAACTTGGCGTGATGGTACCTCGCGATAGACGTTGAGGTGTTGCGCGAGCTCGATCGGCGTCTTGAAGGTGAAGCAGCGCACAGGCACGCCTGCGTTGGTACGTCAACGTTGGTGAGTTATACACCGCGAGCATACAAGAAATAAGGCCAGCAAAGGTTACCTCGCTCCTTGGCGATGTTGATGTACAGGGCGCGCGCACTGTCACTCGGGTTGGTGTTATCGATCACCACGCTGGGCCATGTACACCGGTTAGCATATACGCGCCTTTATAGGCAGCCTTGGGAAGAGGGAGTGCAGCGGCGTCGCACCTCTTGCCCTGGGCGAGTGCCTTCTCCGTGGCTTGCAAGCAGGCCGACTTGGTATGCAGAGTGTCTTGGTTGATGTGCACGTAGCCTTGCGGTACCAGGTTGCGCTTGGTGAACGTGGACTTGCCCGACTGCTCTTGTGCAGGTGCGGTGCTGTGTGTGTGTGTGGTTAGAACAGGCAAACTGCACCCTGCACTGGAGAAAGAATGATCGTACACCAGGGAACCCAACGCAGATGACCATCTCCTGCGATGAGGCGGTGAGATTGCCCTCGTAGGCCTTCGCACCTGTTCCGAAGCCATCAGCTCTGTGCCTCGTGGCTCAATACGTTTAGAACGTAGACAAGAGGAGGAGCGCATACCCGCGCTTTGCATGGCGGTGGTCGGCTCGATGGAGCCCCAGTCAAAGTGTTGGGTGTCGGGCTGGCCAAGGAAGCAAGTCTCGGGGATCTGGAACGGGAGAGCGACGTTGCGGGCGAACTTTCTGTCGCTGCACGAGTGGTCCTTTGCCGTATGGGGGTTGCCGTCCCACGCCTTGATTCGGCCTGGTGCCACACGACACACGACACGTGTCAAATTGGGGCGAGTGTGACTAAGCTCGTGGAAGATTGCGTACCGGCAGCGTCGCCGCAGTAGAAGGACTGCTGATTGTCGACCGCAACGTTACCGTTGTGGTGCTTGATGAAGTAGTCCCACATGACGGTGGAGGGCTTGCGCCACTTGTCCTCGCTGGTGGCCACGAAGGCCTGCAGCGGGAGGCCCAGCTCGGCGGCGAGGTCCTGGATCTTGCCCTGGATGTCGCACGCGCGTGCGTTGCCCTTGGCGATACCCGCCTGGTTGGTGAAGATCACCAGCTTGTAGCCCTGCTGATGCAGCTCAGTCAACCGCTGGGGCACACTCGGGTTCCACCACCTCCAATCATTCCGGCCGGTGGCAAAGGCTCGTCCAGACTTGGGCGTGATCAAGGTGTCGTCCTGTTAGGGATTGAAACGAACCCGTTAGCCGCGTGGCGCCGTGCACGAAGAAGAACAACACCTGAGAGAGCGAGGCGGCCGTACCATGTCAAATGAAGCGATCTTGGACGAAGGCTGGATGCTATCGCCATCAAGCACGAGAAGGGTGCCCTCCACGGTCGACCAAGTCGCTTCTAAATAGAGAGAGAGAAAGAGAGAGAAAGGGTTCAGATAACGATGGGCTCCTAGGTGCAGTGTGTGTGAGTGTGTGCATCGAGCGCACCTTGGTGCTTCTTGGCTGAAGGCGCGAAGGGGTTGAACGTGGTGCTAAAGTTACGAGTGTGCACCTGCGTCTGAAGAGAAAGTACTTAGTTGTTAGTTTCTGGGGTGGTTCGTAGCGGTAGAAAACGCCAAAAGCCGTGGCTTACCGCAGCGGCGCTGCCATACTGACGCTGCAATTCTGCCTCGGTGATGGTGCCACGCAGCACTTGATCCTGGGGACTCACGTCAGACGCCAGCACGAACGTGGGTGGACGAGTGGTAGGTAAATACCTTGACGCGGCCCTTCGCCTCGGCGCTCAAGACGCCGTTCTTGTGCAGCTTGGTCACGAGCAGAAGCATCCGCGTGGTGGCGTTCTGGGGTGCGCCTCCGGTGGCCGGCTTGAAAGCTGTGTGCCACAGGTGAGCCTTCATCTTTGGCAACACGAGCCGGGGGGGGGAAGTACAGCCACTGACGGGGTGTGCCCAGAAGGCTGAGAGAGTGACACTGCTCTGAGCGGTTCGCGAAGATGTTACCGCAAGTGACGATGGCTTAGGTGCTGCATCTTGCTCCCTTCTTGGTGGCGCATAATGAACCGCTTGGGACTGCGCGCTAGGGTGCTGTTGTTGAAGAAACTCGGTGGTGATGTAGCAGACGCCCCCGGGTTCGTAAAATCGTGGAGCGATGTGGCGAAGACGTCCGTTGGGGGGCGAGCATCAAACGCATTCGCGTCGCTGGTAGTCGGCGAGAAGAAAGGCGTAGCGGCCTGTGCCGAGGAAAAAGGGTTGAATGCTGCTAGGTCGGCCATCTGTAGATGCTCACGCGTTCGATGTGAAAACAAAACCGGGCTTCCCGCCAAACTTTTATCACTGCCCAAATAATTACAGGAAGCAATTAATTGCACATAAAAACAAAGGAACGAAACAGTACTTCAAGTTGATTGCAGCTGTTGTGCGCGACATGCAACTCTCTTGTCGGTCTTGTTAGACTTGTTCGTTGCACATTGCCCTCCACGGTGCAAGAAACACGATTTTTTTTTACAGATTGATTGGCCGGCCACGACTGGCTACGTCGAGCCGGTGGTGGATTTGGTGATGTCGCGGATGAGTGCTCGCGGGTTGGGGGCCGACCCACCGCCCCCGGCGCGCTCCTTTTGCCACTGGCGGTGGTGCGACGCGAGCGCGCTCCTCACATAGTGGTCCGCCGACTCGTCGAAATGCTTGATCTCCCGCAACGTGCCGTTCAAGTAGTCCACCTGGTGGCCACCGCACACACACACACACACACATTCAGTCTGTGAGGCGAACACGCACGACGCACACCACACACCGCACACACCACACACAGGCGATGGCGAGTGGAGGAGTGGTACCTGTAGTGACAGGGTCTGGGTGGCCCTCTCCACGTCCATCGGCGTGAACTTGAGCCGCTGGAGCAGGTCTCGGTCCTCCTTGCTCAGGAAATCGGGGTAGTCGATCTCGCCCGTCTTGAGCCGCTTGGCCATTGTCTCCTCGTGCTCGCCGGCCTTCTCCCGCGCCCGCTTGACCTCCTCGCTCTTCTTGGCGTACACTTTCCGTGCCTCCTCCCACTGCGCGGCTTCCTTCTTTTGCCTGTCGTCAGTACCGCACATGGACCAGATGAAGAGAGAAGAAGCAAAAGGTCAGCAGACAAAGCTTGATGATCAACGATCGGTCGGCGGGAGCGGCTTGAGAGTGTACCGCTCGATTTCCTTGCGCAAGAGGTCGCTTCGCTGCCGGAGCTTGGCGCACCGCACTTGTCGAGCGTGACTCTGCGCGAGACTCTCCTCTTCCTCGCGCTGATGTCGCTGATACTCCTCCTCGGGTATCTGCTTGGTGGGCACCGGCGTCGTCTCAGCGTCTGCCAGGAACTCGCCGCATATCTCTTGCACTAGAGTGGCGCGTTTGCAATAAAACGGTCAGCTCATCGCCAACATAACGGTAGCGAGCTCTTCTCTAAGAAAGCGTTACATGAGAAGAGCGAACCTTTGGTGTTGACTTCGCGCGCTCGGCCGGTCACGGACTTGTCGAGCGGAGCGTGAGCGTTGAGGAGTTCCTCGACGGTCGTGCGGAAGTGGGCGAAGAAGCGCTCCTTCTCCCGCACAAAGGCGGGATCGCTCGGTGCCGCCGGCTTCTTCACCACCTTCTTCACCACTTTCGTCGTTGTTTTCTTTGTCTTCTTGGTTCCTGCTGGCGCTTCGTCCTTCTCGGCAGAGGTGGTACTCGAAGGAAGAGGAGGCATCGACGACGCCGACGAGACTGGTGGAGTGGGTCGCGCCTGCGGTGCTTCATCTCCCATCTTCCCCTTCTCTGCAGCCTTCACTTTGGTTGCCTTGCCCTTGCCCGTGCCCGTGCCCGTTGACGTCTGCGGCGGTGTCTCCATCTCTTCCTTTTCTTCATCTTCTGTGGGTTGTGTTGGATCTCCCTTACGTTGGAACGGCAACTCAATCTCATTCTCTGCCATAGAGGCGTGGTGAGATCATCGTGCAGAGAAGGAGAAGGGAGAAGGGACATCTTACCAATGCTATCCTCGACCTTTGCGCGCCGTACGGGGGCGAACGATTTCTTTCGTCCCCGCCCACTGGTTCTACACCACGAAATGAGGTTAAATCCAATGATGGCGAAAAGGGCTGGCTGATCGAGAAATTAGTCGGCAATTTTATACGCACTTCTTATCTGTGGATGGGTTCTTCTCGTAGTAGATGAATTCCGCCATTTTCCTCCTCTTGTGTCTTTAATCGACTCTCTTGCAATTGTGTACGGCGCCGCTACTTTCGCGCCAAAATTAAATCATACCATTTTCTTTTTCTTTGTGTTTTTCCCTTGTGCTGTTCTTCTCTTTCGAAAATGAATTGGTTGGCTTGACCTTTTGCTTTGGGGCTATCTGTGGCTGGTCTTCTTGCATCTTCTTGCATCTCTGCACTCACACAACACACAAGAAGACAATGGCGTCCAAGGGTCACGTTTACGGCTTCAACATCAAGAGCGCGAGCGGCTCGTCTGCACCCGCTACGGGCGGCTCAGCCGCCAAGCCCGCCATCATCGTGGACAAGTTCCAGCAGACCGCCGTACCTTCCTCCCCTCCCAGCTTTTTTGGTCCAGCCTAAGGCTCACCCCCCCCCCTCTCTTTGCATGCCCACAGATCAACGCGCCCAAGAAGGAGACCGAGCGCGGCGTGCAGAAGGGCACCGGCGACAAGCCCAACTTCTCAGGCATCTGAGCAGGAGCCCCTCTCCTGGTCCTTCAACTGTTCCTCCTCACCGAAGGAGTGCAGTGTAAACGCAAGGAGTGTAATAAATATAGTGTTAATAGTCTCCGTGCTGCTCAAGAGACGCCGCCTTCACGCTGCGAGTTGCTCTTTGTCAGACAACAGAGGCGCGGAACTTGCACGGGCAGAGCTTTCGTCATTTCCATTGTTATTAGAACAACTCATTGCCATCGCCACACGGACGAACGCTCTGCGCAGCTCTGCCCCACGCCATCTTCGTCGCCCTGGGGGCCAAGATGAACATGCTTAGCCCTCGCGGCAAGTTCGTGCCCTCCCCTTCTTGCCTTTACTTACCCCCCACCCAAACGAAGGGCATCTCCTAAAAAAATCAAATCTCTTCATACATCTCGGCAACACAGAACCTCTTCAGATGGACAAGCCTCGGACAAGAAGGAACCGGCGGCAGACAAAAAGGGAGACAGAAAGAAGAAGCTTCTCCTCCTCGGGTCCTCAGTCAGCGAAATCCCTCAAGCCGCCAAAGTATCCCCCCCCACCCCGCAACTCTGTCTCAGCGTTATCCCCCTTTCCCTTCCCACGTGTTTGTCCCTGTGCTGCACGCCCCCCCCCCCGTGAGCGCCGTCTTTGTCCTCCCGCGCTCGTCTTCGTTCTTTTCGTCTTCGCTTTCGCTGTTTGCTGGGTGACGGCCGCACGCCCCCTTTCTTTCTCTTCGTGTTCTCAACCTTCGCTTTTTGGTGGCGTCGACACCACAGGTGACCAACAGCCCATCACCCGTCCGGCGGTTGAAGGTGAGCAAACAGAAGTACCCCACGCTCAACTGCCCGGTTTCGCTGTCGTTTGACGACGCCGCCGCTTCGGCCACCACCCCGACCGACAGCCCGCGAGGCAGCTGCGACAGCGACCACCACAACCATCACGGCCACGCCCACACCCACGGCCACAACGCCAACGAAAAGGAGAACTTTGGCAGCAACGGCAGCACCAGCAGCAGCAACGAAGAGAGTGCGGGGGGATCGACGCCAGGGCGCGACGAGGGACCGCTTGGCGGGCTCTTCGGCCGGCTGCGCTCGTTCTCGATCGACCGGAGCGGCGCGGGCGACATCACCCCGCGCATGAAGAGCCCCAAGAAGAAGGAAAGCCCCAAGAAGAAGGAAAGCAAAGACAGCAGGGATATCGACGCCCATCAGCACCACCACCAGCCGCAGCAGCAGCGCGAGGTGCGGATCCAGTGCAAGGACAACTCCGACGCGCGGACGCCGTCGGCGCTCAGTTCGTCGTCGTCGCGCACGCTGGGGGTCAAGGGCGAGAGCGTCAGCAGCGACTTATACGCCACGCTCGGGCGCGGCGGCCGGCGACGCAAGCAGCTGTCGCAGATCCTCGAGGGACTCGACGTGGCCGGCATGAGCCAGTGGGATGAGACCGACGCGGCGTGGGAGCAGGGCGCGCGCACGCTAACCACCTTCCGGCGCCGCAACAAGATCAACAACAACACCCACCACCACCGCCACGAGCCGCGGCCCACTACCGCCGGCGACAGCAGCGGTAGCGGTAGCGAAGGCGAGGGCGACAACAACAAGAAGGCGGCCAAGAAGCAGCGCAAGCGGGAGGAGCGGGAGAAGCGCAAGGAGAAGAAGGCCGAGGAGCGGGAGAAGAAGGCCACGCTGCGGCTCATCCGCGGGCGCAAGCGCGGGCACACGCGGTCGGGCTCGGAGATCAGCACGCGGTCGGCCATCAGCAAAAAGCCCGAATGGAAGGCCTCCCTCCCCGTACGTCCCCAATCGCTTTCGTTTTCGTTTTCGTTTTATTTCTTCATTATTTTTATTTAATTACTTAAAAAATGTGTTCCTATTTGTTCCGCCAGGAGGAGAGCACGCTGGGTTCGCCGGTGTCGGGCCTGGCGACGCGGGCCAAGTCGGGCGTGGCAATGGCCGACCTGTCGCCGCGAGGGGCGCAGCACAGGAAGACCGGCGACGACTGGTGGCGGGAGGAGCTCAGGAAGCGGGGCGGCGGCCACCATACAACCACGGACCCGGGCGTCGCGGGCAACGCAGAGCAGTCGACAGCGAGCGGCGGCAGCGGCAACAGCGAGGAGCAAACGACGGAGACCGCGGTCGCAGAGAATCTGCTGACGAGCGAGGAGCGGCGGTTGCGGGCGAAGGAGGTCGAGGAGTACAACAAGAAGCTGCTGGAGGACCAGAAGAATCGACAGCACCGGGTGCTCGACCTGCTCACCGAGTGGGAGCACCAGATCGTCGAGGGCGGCGAGGGCCAGGGCCAGGGCCAGGGCGATGTCGTCATCGGCCACGCCGAGGTGGTCGCGGGCGACATCGCCGCGGCTGCCTCTGTCGTCGTCGTGGAGCCGTCGGGCCAGGGTCAAGTGGTCGACGCAAGCAGAGGCCTCGTGGGCGAGGGCGAGGGCCAGCCACCAGCGGCCGCCGTTCGAACAGAGCCGCCGCTTCTGTCGCCGCGCGCCGAAGCGAGCGCGAGCAACGACGCCCTCCAAACGACGGCTACGGTCGTCACCCTCCGGTCGCTGGCGGGCAAGCCCCAGCGGAGAGACGAAGCCGAAGGCGGCGTCGAGCCAGTCATCGCACCGCCGGTCGAAGGCGAAGCGGCCGCTGCCGAGCCCCTCGCGCTGCAGGTCGCCTCGCCGCGCGTCGGCGTTGAGTCTTCGTCAACCGATCGACAGCCGAACGAGGATGAGGACGTGGTCGAAATCGAGATCACGCGACAGGACCCGGTGCCGACTGCCGACGGGAAGGGCACCCGCCTGGTCGAGACCAAGAAGATGACGATCCAGGTCATCGTCAAGAAGAAGCGGGACGAGCCGAGCGGCGGCCAACCAACACAACAACAGCAGCCGAGCGTCGGCCTGCGCAATTTCAACTCCGAAGAGGGCGCGGCCAGCGACGTGGACGAGGAGGACGACGAGCTCTTCTTCTCGCAGGACAACGAGGCCGTGCTGGTGCCCTTCGGCCGCTGCAGCAGCGCCGGCGACGGTGAGGAAGGCGATGGCGGCCAGGCCAGCCGCGACGACGTTGGTGTTGACGACGACAGTTCCGGAGTGCCTCCCGAGGAGCAGCTGCGTAACGTGGAGCGCGAGCTGGAGGAGAAGATGAAGGCCATGGCCGCCCTGCGGCGCGAGGTCAAGCGACTCAAGGCCCGGCGCGAGGGCTTCATCCGCGCTGCCCGACGGACCGGCGAGATCGAGAGAAGGAGCAGCGAGTGTATCGATACATAGACAACACCAACGAAAGAAGGCAGTTTAGTTGCATTGCGGGGGAGGCGGGAGTTCATCGTCACAATTGTCACTCAGAGCTGTCGGTGCACTCGCTGGCCAGCTTCCACTTGGCGAGGTGCACCACGAACACGGGCACCTCCTCGGCCAAGGGGATCGTGCCCGCCACGTCCCTCCACACGCACAGCTCGCTCAACGACACAATCCTCGCCTTGTTCACCACATCGTTACAAGTTAGCGTGTGTGCGTGTGCGGTCGCGGTGGACGGGTTACCTCGAGCGTGCCCCACACCCACAGGTCAGTGTTGTCAGGGAGGAAGGTGTCCTCCTGCGCGCGGTCGAACTCCAAGATGATGTCGCGCCCGTCCTTGGCCAGGCGGAACCGGTCCTGGTTCCTGTTCAGCGCCGGCAGCGTGCGCCAGCACTCGGCCTGTCGCCGCCGTCGCTCCTCCTCCTCCCAGCGCCTCACACTCTCCGCCTCCTCCCTCTCGCCGCCGCCGCTGCTGATGGCGCGCTCGAGCGCCTTCTTCTTCATCTTCCGCCTGGCGATCGCTTCAGCGCTCAACTCGTCCAGGCCTTCATCGTCATCGTGGTCGGCGGCTGGTGGTCTGTGGTGGTGCTCGGTCTTGGCTGGCAAGGCCGGAACAGGCTCGCCCTCGTCGACGATGCGGCCGACGGCGATGACGGTCTCGCCGGCCATGGACGGCTGCAGGTCGCACAGGGCACGCACCAAGGGCGCCCCGTGCTTGCTGATGTGGCGCTTTCGTCGCTTCTTCTCGCGCTTGTGCCTCCTCTCCTCCTTCTTCCTCTGCTTCTTCTCCTTTCGCTTTTGCACCTTGCGCTCGAGCTCTGCAAACAACGGTGGCGGTCGATCACGGTACGACACGTGAGCACACAGGGGAGGGGTAGGTACCTTCGAGCTGCTCGAGTTTGCGCTTGCGCTCGAGTTCGCGCTGCTGATGCTCGGCAGCTGCATCTGCGTAGGACCGTCCACCCTCGACTGCAGCTGCGTGCACCCCCGACCCCGCCTTTCGCTGCAGCCCCCCACACGCAAAGGTCAGCTTGCCAGCACGATGCTGTGAGCAGTGGCAGTGCCGCACCTCTCGAGCAGCAATTGGGATGGGGAAGAGCTGTGGGGTGCTCTTGGATGATGTCATGTTGATGGACCCGTTCAGCCCTGAAGACGAGGTGCAAGGAGGTGCCAGAGAGCTGAGGGCGGTGTGGTACTTCGTGATTTTCGCTGAGCGTCTTACTCAGAGTCCCAGGTTCGACTCCTGGCCCGGCACCCGCAACAACAAGCCGGTGTGGTGTAGCGGTAACATACTATGATCCTTCCACCACATGCCGCTGCCTCTCTGTTGTTTTGATCCTCGTTGTGAGGTCGCAGTACTCCGAGCGGGGCAAAGAGTTTTGTGTTGTACCTTGCGATGGAAACGGAGATGATGAGTGCGAGCGGGGGAGCACTGCCCCAGTGGGAGGCCATGCTGCTGTCGCGGCAGGAGGATGTGCTACGGCTGCTGGAGCAGCTGCTGGAGCGGGTGCGGAGGGCCGAGGAGGTGCTGGCCGGCGTGCCCAAGGACGACGAGCCCGTTGCCCGTGTCAAGCAAGCTGCCAGAGCTCTGCCGATACCCTCTGGTGCCCTTCCCCCCCTTCACGATTTGATTCAAATTCAATCTTGCGACGTCCATCTCAAATTCGTCTGTCGGTCGCATTCTTCTTTCTTCTCGACAGCTGCGTTCCGGCGTGTGCCTTCCACATACTATGAGTGGCCCCTCACGCGAAGGAGACGATGCCTTGGCGCTCCGTCTGTGCACCAGGTCAGTATCACCACGCTCTTAGTGCCTGTTCACTTGGCCGACCAGCTCTCCCTCATGCGTGCATGGGTGGTGATGGTGAATGGTCGCTGAGGCCAGCTTTGTAAAACGATCATGCTGGAGAACACGCACTGCACGCGCACTGGCTGTAGCGATCCTCGCAACAGCCGGTACTACGCCGTCATCATCCAGTACACCACGAGGCTACAATCGCAAAAGGGTAGGATTATTTGTGACCCTCTTGCGTACTATCTATCTGCCATCCACGCTTGTGTTGACCTTTGACTGTGCATGTGGTGTCGTGTGTGTGTGTGTGTGTTGAAGTGTTCAAGTTTGTGCGCAAGTTGAACCCTGAGATCTCCAAAAAGCACTTCAAGTTCAGGCTGGCGCCAGAGGAGGTATGAACTCTCAATTGTCTTGCTCTGCTCTTCAACATGTCGCACGTTAAAAAACGGTGGTGCAGATCAGCGACCAATTGACCGGGTTCGGTAAAGGCGCGGTCTGCCCGGTGGGCATGAACACTCCCATACCAGTCATCCTCAGCGATCGGCTCACGCGGCTGAGCCCGCAGTTCATGTGGCTCGGTGGAGGGCACGTACGTGCATCATTGCCCCCCCCCGCCTGATTGTCCACCAGGGTCATCATCTTCGCCACTGGGCTCCTGACGTGATGGAGTTGGCGGCCTCTGCTTGCAGATTGACGTCAAGCTGGGCTGCAACGTGACCGAGTTCATCACAGCCACCAAGTGCTACGTGGCGGACATCGTGTACGATGAGGCCAGCGAGGCCGCCAACGAGTTGGATGACTGACACTTCTGCAAATAGACCAGCAGCGCAGGCACGCGTTGTACAACTCTCAACCACATCATCTGTGTTGCGTTCTGTGTGTCGTTTTATGGCGCAGTGCGCGTGCCGTCGTCGTCTCAGGGCGTTCACGAACTGCCGCGGCAGGCGACAGGCGCGAGACCAACAGTCCACAGGCACACCGTTCGTGTACCTAAAATGGGCACAACTCCCTTTTTCAGTTTTGTCGGCAGGAAAGCGCACCTCTGTCGCTGGAAAGATGATGGACGCGACTGCCCGATCTCTGGTCCTCTGGGCTGCAGTCGTTGCGCTGCTTGCTCTGTGCGGTGGTATATGCCCTCCCCCTTCTTCCTTCTGTATGTAAGACAAGTGTGTTTTTATTTACTTCTTTAATATTACTTATATTTTATCGAGCTCACAAACGTTGTGTGGTGTGAAGGCGCGCTGGGCACTCCCGCAGATAGGTTTCGAACGTGTGAGGAATTCGCCGAGCACACGTTGACCCAGCGCCGGCCATCGCTGAGAAGCAGCGAGCCCGACGTGGTCTACAACAGCGTCTGGAACGAATACTTCATCGTCTACGTCAGTGAAGAGGTTTCTCTTTTTCCCTGTCCACTTCTTCCCCTCCTTTTCCCTTACTCTTCTCTTTTTCATCACAGGTCCCAGGCCGAACGGCGATCTATGGCCAGAGGCTGAGCGAAGCGGGCGGCGTCATCGGAGGCCCCATTCAGATCTGGGGCTACAGTGACGCGAACGATGAGGTACGCCATGCGTGCCATTCCCCTTTGGCGTTGTCGCAGGTCTGTCTGTAGTTGATGATGCTCATCATCATCATGACGTCGGTCATGCACAAACGCAGATCGACAGCAGCCGAAAGGAGTTCCCCGTTGTGGCCTACAACAGCAAGGACGACTACTACATGGTGGTGTGGGAGTACGACTTCCAGGGTAGGACCTGCCTTAGCTCATCGCACCATTGAGAAGAGTGTTAGGATCTCATAAGCAGCACGCCACACGCCACACGCCACACGCCACACGCCACACGACACACGACATCAATCACGCGCAACAGGTGACGGAAGTGACTACGATGTGGTCGGACGCAAGGTCAACAGTGACGGCACCATGCCCGAAACGGCAGTCATGATCAGCTACTCGTGGGGCCGGGACGACTCGCCACACATGGCCTACTCGCCGGTGGACAACGCCTTTGGTACGGCGGACCACTTCTCTCACCCGCTGCCTGCAGTGACAATGGCTGAGAGTGTGTGCTGGTTTTTCCAGTGCTGGTCCATGAGCTCGAAATGCCCGATGAGCGCGGAATCGCAGTGCAGCGTCTCAACGCGACTCACTTGATTGGCGATAGTACGAGCCTACTCCGTTAGCGCTGACATAGCACGCACACGCACACGCACACGCACACGCACACGCACACGCACAGGCACACTCACCACGCACACGCACACGCACACTCACCACGCACATGCGCACCACCGCACTCGCACCACTGTTGCCCAGGCCTGCTGTTGGGCACGGACTACGTCGATAGGGAGCCCTTCATCACCTACCACCCGCCCACCAACAAGTTCTTCGTGGTCTGGGAGTGGGACCAGGAGAACAACCAGCAAACCGAGATCGGCGCCGTCATCGTCAGCGGCGTACCGCTCGCCGCAGATAACTCGGCGCCCAACCTGGTCGGCTCGACCGTCGAGGTATACCACCTGTCCCTCGTGCCAACAGTCGAAACGTGTTTATGAAACGCAACGCAACGGAAACGAAATGCAGGTGACCGAGGAGGGCTACGTGTCGGTGCACGACCACGACGCCAAGGTCGCCTACTCCACCAAGGACGATCTCTTCCTGCTGATCTGGGAGATCGACAGTACGCCTCTCAAGGCCAGCGCCCTGCCTTAATTTGCTGACCGTTCACCCACCTTTCCGCCGGGCACGCACTGGCAGGCGCGGACGGTGACAAGGAGGTGGTCGGTACTCGCATGAGCACCGCAGCCGAGAGTCTCCAGCCCCTCTTGTACCGTCGACTCCCACGTGTTGTTGTTGTTGTCTCTCCACCGCCTCAACTCACTCACTTGCTCATGGCTCCGGCCGTCGAACACCACAGGATTATCGGCTCGCCGGCGAACCCCTACGACAGGCACCCGGTCCCGGCCTACGTGCCCCAAGTCAACGAGTTCCTGGTCGTGTTCGAGAGCGGAAGGTGCCTGCTGCACTCTACCCTGGTAGGCACAACGTCTCACGCACGTATGTCGTGTGTGTCGTGTGTGTGTCGTGGTCCGCAGGTCGGCCAACACGACTCACGTGGAGATGGCGAGCTTCCACTCGCACACCATGCACGAGCATACCGTGCGGTTCAAGCTGTCGCGCACTTTTGACAACGAGCACTGGCCCACGGTGTGCGTCTCGGCGAACTGCACCACCGCGCTCACCGTGTGGCGTAGCGGTCACAACTTCGTCCCGTCGCATCCCCCCACCGAGGACGAGCAATACGACAACGCCGATGAGGACTACTGTACGCCCCCCCCCCAACCTCCCCAGCGATCGTCTGTATGTTCGGAGCTAAAACAAAAAGGGCCAATCGTTCGTCCGTCCGGCCGATGCATCACAGATAAGCGAGAGGCCAAGAGCGCGTCAGCAGCGAAGTCGTTCGCGGCGCATCCCGAACCTGGTACGCCCAAGCCGTTCGCCGTCAACAAGCTCATCCCGTCGGGTGGCGACCACGGCCACAAGAGGTTTCTCCCCCGCCCGTCTACCAAATCTCAATATTCTTTATTTCATTTATTAATAATTTTATTTCTAATTTCTAAAATAATCACAATTATTAAAAAGAAAATGAAACTGACTGCACCCTTCTGAAGGATGATGCCCATCGGCAGCAGCACCAAGCAGCGGCGTTCGCCCAAGGCCGCCGGAGAGAGTGTCGCCCAGGTGCCCGCCCAGCGGGCGCACGATCAGGAGGTCGCCCCGCCGGCCTCCATCCAACTGTCCCTCGTCTGTCTGCCCGGTAAGTCCTTGACCTGCTGTCATTCTAGTGTCCCACAACTTTGGCTCACACGCCCACTCATCAGGTCGCAACAACATGTGCCCGCCCGTGGGCGGCGGCGGCGGAAGCGATGGCGACTCCGGCGGAGGCGACAGCGGCGGCTCGCCTGCGGACAAGAGCGGTTCCACCTTCACCATGACGGTACGGGCTGTTCTCTCCTGTGGGTGCTTTTGAGGGGCTTGAGGCTCACGCCAGTTTACGCGTGTGTGTATGTGTGTGCGTGTGCGTGTGTGTGCGTGTGTGCGTGTGTGTGTAGAATGTGGTGATCATGGTCAGCGTGATGTTTGCGGTGATGATGGTGGCGGGCGTGGGCATCTTCCTGCTGTGGAAGCACAAGCTCCGCAGCAGCACGCGGTGGGGCGGGTGGCAGCCCGTCGTGGACCTGGGCGACGGCGCGCAGTTTTCCTCCTTCCAGGCCGACAGCTTCGTCGGCGATGACGACATGTGAAGCCCTTCAATGCTCCCCCCCTTCACCTCTCCTCGTTGGCTTGTTGGGCGAACCGGCGCGCAACCCCATTTCTGGCCACACTTTAACAGACCAATGGCCTGCACCGCAATGCGAAGCATTTCTTTCGATTTTCTTCCGATTTTGATGAGGGGACAAAGTAGAGAAGCCAAGAAAAAGAAGTAGAACAAAGAACAAGAATGGAGCAAGAGGGTGTGGAGGACAGTTACAGCGACGAGTTTGTGGACATTGACAGCCGCGGCATCACCATTAAGTGGTACACGAAGCACCCTCCCCCCCGAAACAAAGCGCTGCTCACTGTGGCACTTGCTTGCTGCAGGTACTACTTCCCGACCACGACGGCCAAGCTGGTCCCCTGGGAGCACGTCAAGGGGTGGGAGCTGCGCCGCCTCGACACCCTCATCCCCACCGTGGACTACAAGTCATGGGGTGCGGCTCCACATTTCCTTCTGGCCTCAGCTTCACACCACCTGACCTGCTCGTGTCGTGTGTCGTGTGTCGTGTCGTGTGCGGAAGGGATGGGGATGTCGGATGTGTGGTGGGCGTGCGACATGAAGCGCTACCTGGGCGAGCGGGAGGTGCTGGTGCTGACGACCGGTAGCTGGATTCGCAAGGGCTTCTCCTGCCGCGATGCCCACACGGCCCTGCACCTCATCGCCCTCTACGCCGGGCGAGCAGCCGTCCCGCACAGCCACGCCTCCTCTCCTGGTTAACGACTTGTGTGCTAAAATGATACAATTCTGATATAGAGGCTTCGCCAGAAGCACACGAAGTAGTAGGGAGGCCGCGCTGCATGCCCTCGACCCCGATCGCCCAGAGTACGAGGTCCTGCCGAAGCCCTCGGGCGCCGGCTCGGACGACATGGTGCCGTTGTCGTACTCGCGGTCCCGCCGCCGCCGCGTGCATGAATTGTCCAGCTGCCGATGCAGTGCAACCTTGCGACAGAGCTTGCAAGCGATATCGGCGTCCAGGTCGGCCGCGAGGAATGCCGGGTCGTAGTGGGACTTGGGCGGCTTGTAGGTGAAGTAGCTCTCGTGCAGGGCTTGGTCGTTCTCGAGCCGCAGGTAATCGGCCAGGGCCTTGGGTCCGGCGAAGTCGGACACGCGGATGACCGAGTGGTTGTTGGGCGCGACACCGTCGCCGATTGGCAGCCCGCCGGCTATGAACACATGCCAATGCTTGTCCGTCACGCACAGTTGGCGTTCTCCCAGGCGAAGGCGAATTTGTACTGGCTCGTGAGCTCCCAGAGCTGTTCGCCACCACGATAAGATTGGGGGCAACAAGAAGTAACATTGGGTCGCTCATACCTCTTCCTCGCTCACCAGCCGGGGTGGAGGAGAGGAGTTGGGTAGGGTTCTCTTCTCTGCTCGTGCCTCCAAGGTGCTGGGCAAATGTTGGGGTTTAATAAATAACAATCTAAAGTACCGTTGGCTAGACCGGACCAGCCAGTGCTGGCGACGGTCCGTGCTTCTTCTCTTCTCTTCTTGTGGCGGGTTGCGCACCCCAGGGGTGGTCGGGGTTCAAGCGCCGTTGTGGCCGTTGAGAAGCTTCTCCTTCTCTTTCTTGGCGAGCTTGTCCTTTTCCTTCTTCTCCTTCTTGAGGGCGGCCTTGGAGGGGCTCGTCGCCAGCTTCGAAGGGGTCGTCGCGCCGGCAGCCGCCTTGGAGGGACTTGTCGTGGTGAGGCTCGCCGTCACCGTGTCCTCCGCCGTCCGACGCAGCCTCCTGCTCACTCTCTTCTCCTTCTTCTCCTTCTTGCTTCCCTTCTCTTTTTCTTTTTCCTTCTCCTCTCTTTCTCCTTCGCTTTTCATCTTTTCCTCCTCCTTGCCCTCCTTCTCCTTCTTCTTGCTGCCCTTCTTCTTCTTCTTGGGCGGCGTCGTCTTGCTCTCCGACGCGTCAGTCGTCGCCACCGACGTCGTGCTCTCCTTCTCGCTCTCCTTGTTGTCCGTCTTCTTGCTTCGCCTCAGTCGCTTCGATCCCTTCTCCTTCTCTTTCTCCTTCGCATCCTTCTCGTCCTTGTTGTTGTTGGCCTTCTCGGCCTTCTTCTCCTTTCGCTCTTTGACCGCCTTGTCCCGCTCGACGAGAATCTGGTGAATGGTCTTCGGTCGCACCTTCTCCGCCTTCTCCTCGACGACGACGACGCCGCTCTTCTTGACCTTCTCCGGCTTGCTCTTTGATCGCTCCCGGTTGCTTTCCTTCTTGTTGGTGACTTTCTCCTTCTTCTCCTTCTTCCTCTCCTTCTTCTTCTGCGCCTCCTCCTTGTTGTTGATGAGGCCGTTGGTGTGCTGTGCTCGTCCGTGGTCGGCGTTGTCCGTCATCGAGGTGGTGGTGGTCGTCGTAGTCGTCGCGGTGCGCTCGTTCTCCTTCTGCTGTTGTTCTCGCAGCCTGGCCCTCTCCTTCTTCCTCTCCGCTTTGCCGTGGTCGTCCTTCTTGGCCTTCTTCTTCTCTACATGGTGTGGCCGTTTCGCTCCGTTCGCCTCCGCTCCGCCATCCCCGCCTCCTCCGTTCTGCTGCACTTTCCGCTCCTTGCCAACGTTGTCGGCCCGAGGCGAGGCCGCGGTGCCGACGACGGCCTCGATGGCGGCCTTGGACGGCTGCTGCTCGGGCTGCTTGTCCTTCTGCTTGTCCCGCTTCAGGTCGTCGACCGACGTCATCGAGTTCAGGTACCGCACCAGCACGCTGCCGCCCAGCACCGAATCGCTGCTCTCCTCTCCCGGCGATGACTGCGCAAAAATGGAAGCAAACCTGCATGCCCACGACATTGTCAAGTCAGTCAGTCACACCGCACACACCGCACACACCG